CCCGCCAGCCCCGCCAGCCGCCTCTCGTGACTTATTTTTTTTTTTTTTAATCTCTGCATTCTCAGCTGCTGTTGCCAAGACCCAACCTTTAGAAATATCCCAGGCATTCTGAATGAGTTTGGGGTATAAACAGTCCTCATCTGGTTCAGACTGGCAGAAACTCTGTATATGAAATGTTGCCTTTAAGTGAAATGGAAACAAATCCTCCCATTTATTTTTAAACAGTTTCTCTGCCAGTGTAACCAGTGACTCACTAATAGAGAAACTTTTCCAGTGTATCCCCAGGGGTTGAGGCAGCATTCTCTCATTGTTCTGGCAGTTGCGGAGAGGGTAGGGCAAACAGAGCTCAAGTTAAGGAGCCCCCAGGACTCAGAACCCAAACTTCTCAAACACTAAAAGATGGTGTTGGGATTTCACCTCCTAAGATCCCCCACGACAGAGCTTTCTAGAAGGAGGTCCCTTGCCACCCTGAAAAGACCCCAGGGAGAACTACTTGCCCACAGCCAAGTGTTACTGAAAGGCTCCCTCGCCTCAGGGATGCTACCTTCACCCCTGGAAGTCTCCTAACCCACCCCTGTCCTCCCCTCGCCACTGGGTCACCCCGTCCGTCCCCGCCTGCAGCCCCCTGTCTTTCGGTCAAGTCCATCTGTGAAGGCTCTCACGCCCGCGGATGGAGCATGAGCCCCTGGGCAGGCCCACTAGGCCAGCACTACTCCCAGTTCCCCTGAATCCTCGCTGCTGCCCCGGCACCCCGCCTGCTCGCTCCTGCCCTGGCCACCCCCCCCCCCATTCTCCCAGCCCTCCCAGGCTCAGGGTTTTGTTCAGGTCCTTTCCCCATCCTGGAAGGTGCTTCCTGCCACTCTACCAAGTGAACCTAGTTCACTTTTGCTCTCAGCCTGGGGTGGGGGGGTCCACCCCACGCCCCTTTAAAGTCTCCTGTGGAACCTGAACAGCAGAAGCACGCAGGTTACCAGGTAGTTACGTGGCCTTGGCCACGGGGCCTGGCTTCCTTCCAACACTCCCACTTCCTGGCAGAGCCAGGCGTTGGCTGTTGGCTCATTCCTTTCCCCAGGGCGTAGCCAGTCTGGTCCCACACCTGGAGCATGTGCACCGACTTTGGGGAACCAGTGAAGCAAAGCCCTGCTCTCACCCCTTTCCCTGAAATGTAGCGACTGCTTCAGTACAGTGTAACACCCAGACTCAGGCTCAGACAGGCAACTTCCTACCAACCAGCCAGTCAGCAGGCCCATCAGCACACCTTGGCCCAGTTACTGGCCGCCCACAAAGCTTTCATTTCCTCTCCTATAACACTGGGTTCCCCTTGGATCTTACTTCACAGGGTAACTGTGATGTTGAAATACATTCACACACACAAATCCACTATTAAGGTATCCAGCATGCAACAGGTGCGACAGGTGCCTCACAAACGCGGCTCTTGTCACCATGGGAACTGCGGTCTATCTGGCTTCCCAGGATAAGTCCCTTTGGCCTCTGCTGCTGCCACAAGACCACCAAAAGCTGAAGATATAGCCAGGGAGGCCGTGGGGCGGGGGGGCGCTCATTAGCTGCCTTCCTTTGCCAGCGCCTACTGTGTGTTTGCTGATGCTGGGCCTGAATTGTGACTCCCCCCCCAGCAAGGTAGACGTTTCCATGTGTAAGCGGCATCTTCAATAGCTGTGCAAATGCTGTTCAATGTCTCACGCCCATTGCTAGGGGATGACGCTCAAACACTGACCTGAAGTACAGACAAAGGTTTCGGATTCAGGACACCTGTGATGCGTGACAGCAAGATGCTTCTTGTTGACTCGTGTCCTGGTGACTGCATTTCCCAGGCTGATAGGGATGACAGGATTGTCACCTCCCTACCTCCCTGCAGGGGTACTGCTCCGTTTCTGGTGCCACTGCAACTTTAGTACCACTAGCAACCATGACGACGGCAGTGATGGTGATAAGGACTGTTTATTGAGTTCCAACACCATGACAGGCATGGGTAGTCCAGGTAGCCCAACACCAATTTTCAAAACAGTTCTGTGAAGGTATTATCTCTACTCTTCAGAGGAGAACATTGAGGTTCAAAAACGGTTAGTGACTTTTCTAAGTCACAAATGTGGATTTATCTGAAGGTAAGTGGAGGATTTAGATATGCTAATCAGGGCAGTCAATATGTTGCTAGAAATGAGCTTTAAATGGAAGGCTGAGCTTCCTAGTAGTCAAGAAGAAAAGGGAAAGTTAGAGAAAAGCCACACCATTTCATCAAGGGAGCCAACATTTGTCCATTTCTCAAATGGAGATTCATTTTTAGAAAAGTATTTCATGGAGTTATATTCAAAAAAACATTTCTTACAGAAGATGCTGAAGTACATTTTATGTGGTTATTTCCCAGAGCTAGTTTTTACAAACTAGAATATTGTCGGCTACAAAACCAACGTTATGCCATATGACAAATTCAAGTAATTTCAAAAATCATCAGACCCAAGTATATAATCTGATCTGATCCAGAGGTTAAGTAAATTGCTCCAGGTCACACAGTGAGGAAGAATGTCTAGTTGAGCATTAACTCATGCCTTTTAAATTCAGCTCATCTTGTCTCTCTGCTAGGCTTTTAGAGGAGATTAATTTCATCTTCCATTTAAAGATGGAAGATCAAAAAGGTGGAGTGCCTTGCTTAAAGATACACAGTTGGGAGGACGCTTGAACCGATGTCAGGACTCCAACCCCCGGTCTCATTCTGCTGTGAGTAGCTACTTACTCTGGACAGCCTCAGAGGTCACTTGAAACCTCTTTGATGACAAGTCTCTAGATGCTACAAAAAGCAAATGCAGGCAATTCCAGTCCACACAGCCAGAGCGGGACACACGTGAAAGGCAGTCTTCTCTATCTCCTCCTCCTCGGAACCAAATAAGGCTTTCCCCTACATTTTCCTGAACACCAAATTGTCATTAGTGGCAGTGCACGGGTAATGTGTTTTGTTCTCTTGATACTGGTCTGTATTTTTCATAATGAGGAATAAGCCTGTCCCTCTTAACATCTAGCCTCTGTTTTATTTGTTTGTTTGTTTGTTTTTTTAAGTATTCCCATGTCCTGCACGAAGGAGAGTTGAACAATCTAGCTATACACATCCTAAATTTAGAACCCGAGGGTACATACCAGGCATCAACAGGGCTGGGCTGGAGCTGGCAGAGAGAAGGAGCACAATTAAAAGGGTGGGGCCACTGTCCTTTAAGCCAGGCTAATGGGCATAAAAGAACACGTGCTTCATGCCCTGGGCGACTTCATTAAGGCTGGGTGCTCACACATTTCCCATGAAACCCAACAGTGTTTCTCCCGAGCGTTTCGACTCCACATCTGTGCATCGCAGAATAATGAGGTGGGGAAGAGGAAGGAGTCTCGAGTCAAGATGTCTAGTTCTGCTATTTCCTAGCTGTGTGGCCCTGGGGACGCTGCTCAACCTCTAGACCTCAGTTTCCTCAGCTATAAAGTGGAGAGACCATCGTCATACCTACTGCGTCATATCCTACTGCGAAGGGCTGCTGGGAAGACCGGGCTTCTCCTAGGAAGAGCTGGGCACAGTGCTAACCTCCTGGGGAGCACACAGTGAATGTGGGTGACACTGGTTATTATTGTAGAAAATGGGGATAATCAAAAAAGAAAATTAAACATGTGCAATTCTATCTTAGAAAGGAAAAATAATAACATCAACCCACCAATTGCCTGTATTATTACCACTTAGAAATAATGACACTAGCCCTCTGGTAGACTCTCTGTCTTTGCCCACGTACATGTTACATACGAACGTATATTTCCTTTTGCTTGTTTGTCTGCCAGGGAACAGCTCCATCGACTTTCAGTTGACCTTAGCCATAGGGTGCTAATCAAGTTGATGGTTTGGAAAAGGGACTGAGTAGCATCGGCTCGTTCATTCAATCGACACATCTTCCCTGAGTGTCTCCCACCTGCTGAGCACTGTTCTGGGTGCTGGGGATAGAGCCGTGAACGAAACAGTAAAAAAAAAAAGTCCCTGCGGTCTAGTAACTCAGAGCCGGGTGCAGTCACAAGACAATAAACAAAGTAAACCATAAATATCCTGGGTGAGTCAAGAGAAAGAAACACTTAGAAAAGTATTAATCAGTGACTAAGTCAAATGCATCACACGGTCCAAGGCCATTTGGGAAGGAAGTGACGCAGTAAGAAGCAGGGCGCCCAGCACGTGGCATCGGCTTTGTCCAGATGGGCCTCCAGGACACGTTTCTTTCTTTCCCTCAGGAAAGAGGTGCAACCAACCCCAAGTTCTCCATCTATGCCCAGCAGGCGTGATATGTTGGGGGCAGCAGGATGAGGGGAGGTCAGGGAAGCTGACACTAGAGTCTGCTGCAAGAAAGGAGTGAGCCATGAGGATACTTGAGGTCAGATCCTTTGTTTCTCTCCTCACCCCTTCTTAAAATTTATTTATGCATGCATACAGAACTGAACTGGGGTGCAGGCCAGAGGGGCAGGGAGTGAGAGGATTCACCAGAGACAGAGTGGGGAGCAGAACAGGTAGATCCACAAAGTACACTGCTGAGGGGAGCAGCAGGTGAAACAGGAGAGGTCTCTGCTGCGCCATGTGGTCACCTCTGGGGCTGGGGATCGAACTCACACTGAAGCAGCTGTGGCTGGCTTACAGTGCTGCGCTTCAAACCACTGAGCCACCGGGGAAAAGCTCTCTCCTCCCTTTTTTATTATGGCGAAATAAATGTAACAGAGTCTGGAAGTTTGGCCATTTTCAAGTGAGCAATTCAGAGGTGTGTCCCCGCCCTCCCAGTGCCCACCCCGTCCATTAACACTGACTCCGCTCTTCCTGGCCCCTGGCCACCACCGCTCGGCTTCTGGTCTCTCTGACTCTGGCTATTCTCCTCACTTAGATGGAGGCATACAACACCTGTCCTTCCGAGACTTGCCCCCAGGCCCACATGGTAGCGTGTCAGGACTGCCTTCCAGAAGCTTCCACTGCACTCACCCACTCAGGCGCCGACGGCACTGGGCTGCATCCGCCTCTGGCTCTTGCGGCCCGTGTGTGCACACTTCTCCTTGGGCACCGTGTTCTTCTGTGTGTGTGTGCCCACAGGTGGAATTCCTGAATCAGATGGGAAAATCCCACCGTTCTGTTTAAGGAGCCTCTTTGCACTGCAGTTCCAAAGCCCCTGGCCTTGCCGTGACTCGCCGTTTCCGGCCTACAGGGTGCCTTCACCTTCTTACTTCTGGGAACAACGTCGTCGAGACAGAATCCACACACCGTCCCATTTGCCAGGCGCTGTGCACAGTTCAGTGGAGTTCCGTGAGCTCGCAGCTATGTGCCACCACCACCAGCTGTTTGACAACCTTCTGTCACCTCAGGAGAAACTCTACTTACCCATTAGTCATCACCCTCGGCCCCCCCCCCCGGGCCCAGCCTCAACTTCTGACCCACTTTCCACCTCTGCAGATGTGCCTGCTCAGGGCATTTCACACACACGGGTCGTGCCACCCAGGGCCTCGTGTCTGCGCGGGGCACGCGGCCTCCAGGCTCACCGTGTGGGCCGGTCAGGCCCCCGCTGCTTTGGCCCGTGTGGCCCCCAAGCTGCATTGAACTCCTGCTGCTCTTAGAGCTGAGTGCCAGACCCCTCCCTCAGCCCACCCACTCATGAACTGGCCAAGAGGAAGGTGTGGGGGCAGCGAGGCAAAGGATGTTGTGGAAAGTTCTAAATTTCCTCAGCGCGGACTCTCAGAGCCCTGTGGCCACAGGAGAGTGACATGACCTCTGAGTCACAGTTCCCTCCCCGAAAGACGCGTAACAACAGAACACACTCATTCCGCTGGCTGTGGAGGTTAGAAGTAATAGATTTAAAGTATCTGGCATGTAGCAGACGCTTAATAAAAGACAGCTGTCATGGGGTGGGGGGGGCACGAGTCTTCGCAGACTCCCAGGGACCGGTAACCACGGGGACCACGATGCTGTCTGCAGGTGGGGGGCCCAGGCTGGGGGAGAACCCCTCTGCCACCGCCCCCCTCCCCACCCACGTCAGCTCCAGCTTTTACTCAGCGCTACCACAGGACGGACCTGAATGTGGTGACAGGAAAAGTCCTAGTGTGGGGAAGTGGGGTGATTTCCCTTTCCGGTCGAGGCTGGCAAGGAATCAAATTAGCATCAGGCAGACTGACTGGAGTGGGGAGGGGGGAACAGACCAACAGAAGCTTATTAATATCATGTTACTGTCTGTCTGTATGGGGGGACCCAGTAATGGTAACTCGCAAACAAGGCTTCCACCACCTTTGCAAATAACTTCAGCTGAAGACACGGGCGGCAGGGGAAGGGAGGCGGCCAGGGAAGCCACCGGAAGACACGGCACGCAGGGTACAGCACGTGCAGATCCACGCCGACAGGCGTTGAAGAGGCCAGGTGCCCCTGGCCCAGCCAGGGAGAGCCGGGGAGAGCCCAACCAGGGAGAGCCCTTTCAAGGGAGGCTTTCCTGTATTCCTGAAACGTTCCTCACAAACAGGCAACCAGCACCCAGCTTCCTGAGCCCTTCCCATGAAACCAGCTCTCGGCCAGAGGGAGAGGCTCTGGCGGTGGCAGGTCTTACTCCCTCACACGCTCGATCTGGGAGCTGTTTTCTAGTCCTCAAAGTTATGATCGAACAAAAACACCCTTTAAAAATGCCATTCTTCTCCCCCCAGCTCCCCTAAATAACCGAGTGCCCAATGCACCTTTCCTCACCTCAACATCCAAAGCTCCCTGGTTGCTCTCTGGCCCTTTGCTCTAGAGACCCACTTTCTCCTGCAAAGCCCAGAGTGTTCACCATCTGTCATTCTCACCCTCAACCTTGAGCCCGAGCCCCCAAGCCAACAACCAGCATCAAGGCACAGCAACAAACTCCCAAAGTCTGAGGGGTTACTAGGTCCGAGACTGTACGACAGACTCCTTTCAAATTTTCTGTTTTACAGAGATTCCTTGGTCTGCTCTTCCATTTTCAAAGGAGAGGCCAAGGCCCACACAGCTGGAGTTGGTCAAAGCACTCGGTTCTCCTGTATTTTAATCCAGATGAAACTGCATTAGTGAGAAGCGCCTCGCAGAGGAAGGTCTGGAATCCAGAGCGTTTGCTGGAACTTGCAGCAGCTAATCCACAGGCTTAGGGCTTTGCCACGTGGCCACTGCGCATTCTCTCATGTAATTACTTTCTCTGGCCGCTGTCCTGACATCACCCTAGACGTTTCCCCCAGGGGATCCCAATTTGCAGGCAAGATTGAGGCCCACTACCATCGATCAATTACCTGGGATAATGATTTTGTTCATTTTTCTTGACAGTTTAAAAAATAGTGCTAAAGCTAACCACCACTTTCTGATTGTTCATTTGTACCTGTTTGATAGCATATGTGGCATTTAATCTTATTTAACCTTCACTGGAACCCTAGTCCAGAGCTTGAGAGGATGAGCAATGTGCCCTTGAACACACAGAAGTTAGGGGGCAGGACCAAGTTCTTTCAGACCCCAAAGTCAATATTCTGAGTAATGACAGAGATTAACCAAATATTGGACACATAATACTACTAGTAATACTGACTAGTCAGTGATCAGTGGGCACAGTTCTGCCCCCTTTAATTTCACAAAATTATAATCTACAACCTCATTTTATCACTACACAAAGTGGAGTCACAGAGAAGTAGACAGACACTCAAGGGTACAGAGTTGAAAAGTGGGGAATTTGGGCCCTCCCTGGTGGCACAACCAGTTAAAGCATAGCACTGTGAAGCTATCTGTAGCCACTGCACAATGAAGCACGAGTTTGATCCCCCACTAGGGAGGTAACCCACAAGGCAGGAGACCTCTCCTGTCTCTGCTGCTCCCCTCAGCAGTGTATTTCTGTCAATCTGACTGTTCTGCTCCCCACTCTGTCTCTGGTGAACCCTCTTACCTCCTGCATCTCTGGCCTGTACCCCAGTTCTTGTGTGCATAAAAAAAAATCTTCAAATAAAAGGAAAAGTGGGGAATTCAATTCAGTCTGTTCTGTACCCCTTCCACAGGTTTGTAGGTTTCTAGAGCCTATGAAAACATGCTGCATCTATGTAACAGCAAAGACAAATCTTGAACAATCAGATGAAGGATGACGCTAAGAGGTTGGAAGTATCCTTTGCAAGAACTTGAATTTGGGACCCTGAATGCTGGGGGCGACCATACAGAGAAAGGAGAGTATCTCTTATTTATTCTCCTTGTTTATCTGCAGAATGGTCTCTGCACAGAGCGTTTCCATGGAAAGCATGTCCTAGCTGTGCAGACTTACACACATCTTAAAGGAAAAGATGTGTATAAAAGTTGATGTCATGCAAATATCCCACCCACTGGTGAGTCAGATAAACAGAACCGATTGTGTGTAATGTTGAGGCATGAAGTCACTAGATTCCTTTAAATCAAATTTTTAGTCCTTTTCCAGGTTGAAGGGGAGAAAGAACTAAGGTTTGAGGAGATGTGAGGAAAAAATTATAACTAGGAATTTCTATTAGGCTTACAGGTAAATGTCTTCTTAATGAGTCATGGTATTATCAAAGCAATGACCTCACTTAGATGGATTCTTGAGGCACAAAAGTGTTCATTTCACAAGGCAGGCAAATAAAGCACAGAGATTGTGTCACTCATCAAAGCAGGTTGGTGGTATCAAATATAAATTGCTGCCATGTTTTGGGGTGACAACAGGTTGGTCACCATCCAAACAATGTATCTGAGTCTTCTGACCTGGAGATTCCATTACTGGAAATGTATCCTACGGACGCATTTCATTAGATAAGCAAGAATAATTTACAAAAATGTCTATCGAAAGTTGCTCCAAAGACATGTTAAATATCCACTCAAAGAGATCAGTTAAAAAAACAAAAAAAAGTGTGCTACAGATCTGTCATTCTTATGGAGCCATAAAAAGGGTGAGCTTGATCTCATATACTAGCATAAAAAGGTGGCAAAGAAATATTACCCAATATTGACAATATCATTGACAAGATAAAAACTGCAGTCCAGTACCCATGATTCCATGTTTATGAACATATATGTATGTTCATACACATATCATGCATTTACAGTTGTATGCTGTTCATGATGTGACTTAACATGGCAGACTGCAAATACACAGGGGTCCCAACAAGCTGTACCCAGAGCTCAGCTGGGACTAGGCTGTCCCACGTAGTTAGTGTAGTACATTTACTCCATGACGTTCACATGATGGCAAAAATCTAATGACAGTGTCACTGTTGTTAAGCAACACAAGCCTATGTGTCTGGATGGATGGGTGGATGGATAGGTGGACAGATGGGTGGACAGATGGACAGGTGAGTGGGTGGGTGAGTGGATGGATGGACAAATGGATGGATGGAAAGATGTGTGAGTAGATAGGAAATGTTAAAGGCTGTCTCTGGAGGCAGATACTGTAAATTTGATCTGTTTTGCTTTGTGACAGGTTAGGCTCATGGGTCACAGTCAATGCCAGGACCCCCCTTCCTGAACAATATATTAGGATGTTCTCTACACCTGGCCAGTCCCTGTGATGGCAAATTACTTCCCTGTTCCTCATCTGTAGATGGGCAGGGAATTTGGAAGGTGAGAGAGAAGAACATCCTCAAACTTACCCACTAAGCCCAGACCTCCAGTTCTAATGAAAATGTTTCCAGAAACAAGTTTGTGGAGCCTGAAGCCTTTGGACTGGAGACTCAGTCTCCCCGACCCCAAACCTCCTATGCTCCAGTGACATGTGGGTGTATCAGTGTTAGAATGCAGGGTGGAAGGTGGGGCCTTCGACCGCGGGGTCCCCGTGCCCTGCTGGGAAGCTTTGGGCTAGGCCAACATGTCCTAGTAGGCACATGGTTTTCTGGCTGCAGCAAATCTGGGTTCAAATCCCTGGTCTCTGGCCCCAACTGCTATGTGACCTTGGGCGAGTCACGTTTCTCCCACAGGGGGAGAGAGCATCCTTTCTCCAAGAGAGCAGCAGTGAGGACTCCATGGAAAACATAAGGTGCTTGGTACAGTGCCTGGCACATGGCATATGAGTGGAAAATGCCAGAGCTTCTGTAGCCCAGACATCTTTCTCTCCTCTAAGAATCTCCTTCCTACAGGTCACAGCCCACAGTGTGGCCAAGACCAGGTGCTGATGTTAAAAATATCCATAAAGCCCCACCCTACCAGGTAAGATTTGTCACTAAAGTACTAGGCGTAGTCAGGGAGAGAGAAATGTCTCTGGTTTCTACCCCGGCCCCACCCCAGGCTTTCAGCTTAGAAGCAAATGCCCCAAGACACTGGCCATTGTCAGGAGAGAGTGACCCTGTCACCGCAGTGTCCTATCTGGGCGGGTAAATCTCAGCTCCGGGCGGGTGTGCGTGCTTCCAAGAAAGTTCTTGCATCTTGAGGACACAGTACTCCAAGGAATGACCCTATTTCCTCATTGTTGTGGCTTCCAAGAAACTCGGGGCCCTGCTTGTACTTATTGGAGGAAGAGTTGTGAGGTTATTACTCACACTGCCTGATGTGTAAGGGGAGAGTCCAGTCTTTCCGACAACTGGCTTGGCTCTTTATTTTATGGACACTAAAATATGCAACAGATCCTATTTCTCTCTTTGCTGGGTTTCTAAGAAATTTCAAACAAATATAGGACTTGAAATAAATATTTTGTATACTTCATTTTCTAGTTTTATTTTTCACTACTCTTCACTTTTCCTTAACCTGCTTACCACATTCACCAACAAATGTTCTCTGTGTTTCTGTAAGCTACTACAAACCATGTGTGGAATGAGGTTGGAAATAAACAGGTAAGCAAACACAAGAACAGTCTCTCTCCTTGGCCTGGGCAAACTCCCCCATACCTTTCTTCAAACATCAGGAAGTGATAAAGTTATTTAAAGAATACTTACACATATAGAAAAATATACTCACATATGTATGAGGAATAGAATCTGATGTTAGGATATATATATATGCCAACATGCATGTGTGCGTGTGTGTACCGTGATCTGATATTATGAGAACTACTCCTGTGAATCCTTTCTCCCTCCTCATGCTAGGTTCCCCACTAAAATGTAATATTCAATTACAAAGCGCATTTGAAAACAATTACTGACTACATGAGGCTAAAAATACGCTGTTTATCAAGAAGGGATTTGTGACCACATCTCGAAAATGACTCAGCCATCTCCCTTTGGATTACATTAGCTGCAATTCTTGCTACACGCATTTTAAAATAATTCCTGCAACTGTCCTGATGGAGAGACACTCGAGGCTAACCTCACCCCACTTTTGTCCTAGAAGAAAACCCTGTTTGGGCTGGCCTCAGACGCCAGCTAACATGAGACGGGCTACCTGAGACCAAAACCCTGCCCCGACAGCTGAACTCACTCTGCCTCAGACCGTCTGCCTGTGCCCAGATTGCTCCAAGAAATGAGCTTGGTGAAATGTACACAAGCTATTAATACCAGGACACAGTGTGGATCAAATGGCGGACCCTCGAAAACCATATTTGCTGAATTTGTACAGAGATGCATTTGCAGGGTGTTTTAGACAAAGTTGAAGCCCCATTTTTACCTGCAATCTCTTTAGGGTCCTTCTGCAAAGGAGAATGAGCATGTGTAGAATGTTCACTTTCAAATTGTTTCCTCAGCGGTCTTTGAGGTCTAATCCCAGTGTCATCTTGGGGATTTATTTTCTAAACCACACAACCTTGATGTATAAGGTTTAAAAGCAGCAGTAACTCTGTAGTGTGTGAACTTAACATAATGATTCAGCTCAGACGCTTAAAGGGAACAAAAAGTTCTATTTCACGGGGTGAGGAGGAGGTGATCCCCTGCTCCTTGAAATGCATCCCAGTGCAAACACAGAGAGCCAGAACCTTGAGAATCAGAACAAGCTTGTGTCACGTGCAGGATTCCTGGGAGGTATGAAGGCCAGGAGAGGGCCTTACGTCTGTGTGTCTGGCTGGCTTTAGAACTGGACAAAGAGGACATGTGGGCCCCGCCCAGGCCTCCCCTTGCTGTGTGACCTTGGGCCAAACCCTCCACCTTCCAGGCCCTCTAATTCCTCATCTGTAAAGTGACACTCAGACCTCCATTCACCAAGCGGTATCCGCCGGTATCCGCCGCCTGCTCTGTGCCTGTGGTCTGTGTGAAGGGCGGAGCCACACGGTGACACAGACAAACATGGTCCCCACACAGATCCCCACAGTCTTGCAGAGAAAATGCACATACAATAGTTTAAAAGCAGACGATGCTTCAATAATACAGATATGATAACCGTCAGATAGGCAACTATCAGTATAAGCCAAGGCTCACTCGAAAGCTCATCTCGCATAAGCTTTCAACAACAGGAGTTGGACACTATTATTAGCTCCATGTGGTACTTGGGAAAACTGAGGCTTATAGAGTTTACGAGATCAGGGTTTACAGATCAAAGGACTCGAAGGCAGGACCGGCCGGGCCCCGTTCTTTACCAATAATGTGTGGACGTCGTCACCAACCACAGGTCTGGGTAGATTTCAGCACTAGGGAGTGTTTTTGTTTGAAAGCCATTCTGCAGTCTCATCGTAAGTGGGAATGGACCCGTGTGTCTACACTAGGCCATCTGCTGAAGACCGCAGCCTGTTCGGGAGCTCTGCTCCTTCTAGAGCCTTCAAAAGGCAGTAAGGGGGAACACCAGGATGTGAACAGCAGGGGGTCGAGACAGGAGGGCTCTCCCTCCGCCCCTCCCTTCGGTGGCTCTGCACCCAGGCTGCTCCCCCAGTCCACAGCTAGCCAGGCCACTCGGTCAACCAACAGCAAATCAATTCAAAAGAACAGCTAACAACAGAAATAAACAGACTGGCTGCACTTTCCCTGAACTTTGAACTGATTCCAGCTTTGTCTTCTAATTCTGAGGTGGAATGAAATGCAGTTGTGCAGGGGACAGGGCCTGTGCTGAGCCCCCAGACCACCTTCGCTCAAGCTGCTCCTTTATAAGGGACCCCTTTAGGGGTCCAGTTGGCTATGGCTGCAGGCACTGTCTGCACGCTGTATACTGGCTCAGTCACGCCTCAGAACTCCATTCACTGGCTTATTCATTCAGCGCTGAATGTCATTTCACTAATTTATCAGAGGTTTCATGATGATAAAGCCCTGTGGGCACTTATTTAGAGGATCCCAGCAGCGCGCCATCCTCCTTTCTGGCTCGGATTCCTAACGGGAGAGACATGCACACGTTCTCCATAGCCCTTCAGATAGCTTTGTGTTCTCGTATATATTTTTTATCTGGCTGAAAAGTCAGGTTCTGCAGTTGACACGATCATGAATCTGTGTCCATATGACTGGTCAGTACATACAGCTGTGCATCCATCACACCATCACACAGTCCCTGACATCAGTCGTTACATACTGCGGCTGTTGACCCGACTGGCTGGCCCAAGGAGGCCCGGAGACAAGGTAAGTAACACACCCGCACACGTAAACAGCCCCACCTCTAATGAAATACAAATATATGTTCACGCGCAGCTCTCAGCTACAAAGTGTTGCAAAATATTAACTGTGCTAAGATTTGCTGTTTTTCTAATTCTCCTACTGTGATTATGCAGTGACTTGAAGTTCAAAAGTAAAAAAAGGAGAAAAAGAAATACAACAAAAATGGTGACATGGTGTACGACAGGGATGGGTTCTTGTTATGCTATTCTTGGGGGGGGTGTGTGTGAGAGAGGGATTTCTCACGAAAGGGGGAAAGACAATCACAAAACAGCACTTAAGTTCTAATTGACATCTTAGAATCCCACCCACCCGTCACAGACAGGCACCATCTTACCGAAATAAAGGGACGGCAGGCACTGGAGACCACAACCCCCCATAGCACCCCGTCCTTCCAGAGCCAATGCTTACGTGCAGCACCCCCACCTCCGGCCCAGCACCTTGCAGACAGCCCCCCCCACCCCAACCTCTGGAGCCTGGGGTAAGCCTCGCGCTTTTCCTGAAAAAAAGTAAATACAGCAAAGCAAACAACTGACCTTTTTGTTCTTGTTTGGCCCAGAAACTCTTGACTCGCTGACGAATGTGCTTGTCCTCACGCAGTTTCTTCTGCCACTGACGCAACTCTTGAATCTCAGGGTCACAGCGAACCTGGAAAACCCCCCGTGAAGATTTAGCTCCCTTTCCACACGCTTCTGCTCATTCGCGTGTACACCCTTCTGATCCTAAAACAGTCGGTGTTTTCAGTGAAATTTCTATACTTCTCAAGCTTACAAAGTATCTGAGCGTAAGTTAGGTTGTGAAGATCTGCTGTATTAACAGTCGGTTGAGAACAACCCCCACCTGTGCTTACCCGTAGGCGTACAATGGAGACACGTGCAGTCTCGTTTTAAAAGAAGCAAAAATAACCTGGGGAGATTACCTTTGAGAATTTGTTGTAGTATCCCTAAAAGATGCTAATCAACATATAATCAAAATAAAAAATGATTTATGAGCTATGTGCCTTTTTTTTTTTTTTTATGAGACGTGAACACCTGGTGTGTTTTTCCTGCGAAGACATCAACACCTGGTGTGTATCTTGCAGTTAACAGCGCCATCTCCGTCTGGAGTAGACACGTTCCCAGTTCCTGTAACTGGCGGCTGTTAGGATGCTGGATGTGGATTCACCACAGTGAGTGTCCAGACCACAGCTCTGCTGACCACGCATTGACTGAGTGCCCGCTGGCCTCTATGCTACCTATGGGCGTAAGGAGAGGAATCATGGTATTGTAATAGTCATCATTTTTCCTATTATCATATCTCCAACCTGCTGGGCACTTGGGCCCTAGGCATTCTGTGTTTTTACAAATGGTAGCCTTTAAAACAATCCAGTAGGACAGGCACGAGCAGGAACTGAGTCTAAGCGTGCCTGCAAGTTTAGGAGCTGGTGCCGCTGGGATTGGAGTGCAGGCAGCCAGCTCAGCTGCCCTGGAGGGCCTCTTGGTGAGCAGGGTGTGGAGGATACCAGAAGCAGTCAGTAAGTTGTGAAAGGAGGGAGGATACTGGCCAGTCGGGCTGGCAGGCTGCGGGCTGTGAACTCTCAGCTCTAGTTCCTCAGTGGGTTTTTTTCCTCCAAGTTAAATTTTATCCATGCCCTATCTTAGGTATTGTAATTGTGATAAAGCATAATGATTAAATCTTTACCTATTGAAAACAGCTTCTAATTTATCATATCCAAATATTTCCAAACCACACCTGTAATTGAAAGATGTTTGGAGAAGGTGGCAGTGGTGGAGGAGGTTATGCCACATTCTAAGTCTACTGGAAATCCTAACAGAGCTGCCTCTCTGGCGTTTGAGACAAAGGATGGAGCATCGAGTCCTTGCCTTCCTGGATTAGTTTCTGAAGAGTCCCTTGGGTGGTGATCACTAGGAATCGAAGGGAGAAGTGTTGGTCTTGGAGATATCTCAATCCCTTCCTTTCTGCAAGGTGCCTGGATTATCAAATTGACCTCACATAACCCAGAGTCCTACCTAGTTCCATCAAGAGAAATTTGGAGATTGGGTCTTACCAAACTTAAGAAAAATAAAGTCCTTCCTAATACTCTCACAAGGCACAGCGGGGGTCGGGGGGTGGCGGGGGGGTGGGGTGGTGGTGTCTTACTTGGCTTAAGAAAACTACTCCAGTGACTTTTCCTCCAAAATAAAGGAGACTGTTTCCTCGAGAGTTTATAAATGGAACCTACTCTTGCTTAAAAATAGATAAATGCAACTTATCTATAAATACACATTTTTAAATTATGCATACATAAAGTATTATATGTTTATGGGCATAAAATATACATTAGTGAAATACAAAGTTACACAGACTTCAGAGTAAAAATGGCCCTATAATCATCTCATAGAACATAGAGTAATTCAGTCCTTGAAACCTCAAACCGCTGGTTTTCAGTGTTTCCTTAAGGCTTATGTTCAAATGACTATACCCCTTGACATCTTGTTTCTGGTAAAAGGATTATCAACTGTGGGCCCAGCAAGCCCAAACCTTCCCAGGAGGCAAAGAAAGGGGATTATCTATAACCTGCCCTCAGGCTTCTGCTTATCAGGATCCAAGGGCACAGAACCTTGATATCCGCATGGTGGCCACCCACATCCTCAATGGGAAGACATCCAAAAGGACCTTCTGAATCACTAAGTTAACGCTGGTTATAATCAGCAAGTTGACTGTTTGATACAGTCAAATTATTTCTTTACAGTCGTCTTATTCTTGAAGTTTGGAAGGGTACAACAGGAGTATGCACTGAATGGAAAGGAGAAGAGTGAGGACTTTCACTTTTTCCTCCATATTTCTCTGGTCCCTTGCTCGGGACATTTACAATGAGTAGATGTGTTAGGAATACAAGTGTTTAAATTTTAAGTAATAGGCTACTGAGAGACAAACAAGAGTTCTTTGACTTACAAATAATTGATGGATTTTTTTTTTCCTATCATCCCTCGAACACTTGATTACCCAACTGTTCAACAAGCAGAGATGCCCCCATCTTAAGATGCTGCAAACCACTGCAGGGTCATGTCCTGTGGGGCCAGAGACCCTTTCTTCTTTTCCTTGATGCCCTTCGTGTCAAGCAGAGGATGGCTATTTACCAACAGGCACGGAGTCCAGCCGCCTTCTTAGCTAACTTCTCATTACCAGAAAGCTGGGTTCCCTCGAGAAAGCTTTTGCGAGCCCTGGGGAAAGCAGACATCCCCTGAACTAGGTTAACCTCGGTCACTATAGTCAAGATGGAGAATCAATGGAAATCCTAGCCTGTCAAAACACTAGCAAAGGTGTAAAACAATGGCACTTCAGTAACAATAGAGAAATTAAAAAAAAAAAAAGTGTAAGTGATAGTGGCTGTGCCCAGCAGCACAGTGTATTGTTCAACATAGAAACAATTTCATTGCAAAAACAAGGTTCCCTGATGAGGGGCTGCTTCCTCCTTTAAACAGCCGTGTGGAGCCCGCCTGCTCACCATACACACACCCTGAGAGTAACACACACTTAGGTGTGCTGGACTTGGAGTAAGCCCAGAGAGAAAACGCCATTGTGTGGATGTGTTTGTTTAAAATGCCCGTGACCAATCAAACGCTCCTAGTTACATACGACTCTGAAAGCCAACACTGGGTACCACAGGGGCTAAGGAAGCCGACTAGGGATCAGAGAGCCTGAAGCTGAATTTTAGCTCTGCAAATGACAAATGAGAAGCCTGGAGCGAGTTCCCTCAACTCTCTCAGCCTTGCTTTCCTCCTCCACAGAATGGGAACAATACAGGTATTTCCTTCCTTGGGTGGGTGTGAAAACACCCTGACACGTTGTCTGGCACACAGGAAGCCCTCGGTGGGCAAGAATTTCTTAAATCAAGGCATGAAGTAGGGAGAATAATCTGAGTTCAGCTCCAAGCTTGCCTCATTGCTGTCAGGCATGGAGCCAAGCGGTGGAATCAACGGCTCATAAAGTGGACCAAGGCCTTCTCCCAGGGGGCTACAAATTACTGAATACACAGATGATTTTGTCATTGTATAGCCTGAGACATTAGCCAGCCGGTGGGCGGGGAGGACAGGCAGGGAGGGAGAGGCTCCAGCCTGAATGCTGCATGGCCCTTCCTCCACGCAGACTTCTGAATTCCTCTCAGCTCAGTTGTTTGCTCTGCCTCTTGGCAAAACACACAAAAACATAGCAACAGCTACCCCTCTGCATGATTCCCTGGAGTTTCTCTAATTGCTGTAGAGGAAAATACTGAATATATTATAGTTGCTAGAAAGACGCTGGAAAAGAAATACAATGGACAGCCCTTTGTAATGCTCACAGGCTGGGCACCAGCGTAGCGTCAGATGCTTCTGGAAGGCTCTTCTACCTCCATGCCGTGATGCAAAATAGCAATGATTACAGAGGAGTTTAAACTCAAGAAAGTGGATTTCAACATGAAGGAAATGTGTTTGAAAAACCCCTTTCTCATACCTAAAGACACTTTTAGAGTGCCTAACGCTCATGAATTCAATTTTCTGTCCATGGGAAGCTTTGTAGTTTTCTTCGCAGATTTTTGGTAAAACAAAAGTTGGTTTCTTATTCTAATGTTCACAGTGTTCCTTATTGTCTTTAGGAACTAATTTTAAAAACCTGTAGATACTGCATATTTCCTGGTATTGTAGCGATGTCACAGAGCCCATTTGTGGCAAGACTGTGGGCCTCGTAGGAGTCACTGGGGCTTTCGAGGAGAATTAGAAATGTGTTCCAGAATGGCATTTTTTAAATGGTGGGATGCAGCACATTAGTGAATAGTAAATTCAATTGAGTGGCTGTCAATAGCATTTTTTTAAAAATGCAGTCCAATAGGAAGTAAGAAGTTATTACTTCATCACGAAGCATTTGCTCTATCCAGGTAAATGTTCCATCTCAAAGTTTATTTTATCTGATATTAATAAAATGAGTTCACTTTCCTTTTAGTTGATACTTGGTTGATATTTTTCTCTTTTTTCGACCTTTTTGCAAGCATTCTGGGTCATTTTGTGTTACCTCCAACATAGAGATAAATCTCTACTGAATCCAATCTGAAAATCAGAGTGGGACTTAGTCTATTTACCTGTACTGTGACTAGTGATATATTTCTCTCTCACCTTATTTAAATTATGCTTTTATTTCTTTATTTCTTTATTTAAGATTTCTTTATTTATGCACTCAAGAACTGGGGTATAAGCCAGAGATATGGGGTGGGGGCCGATGAGAGGATTCCCCAGAGGCAGAGTGGGGAGCAGAACAGGCAGACCCACTGACACACACTGCTGAGGGGAGCAGTGGGCGAGGCAGGAGAGGTCTGCTGCGCCATGTGGGGCAGCTCCCTGGGTAGGGATCGAGCTCGTGCTTGCAATTGCAACGGCTGGCAGTAGCGTGACAACACTGTCTGTAGCCCCTGCGCCACCAGGGAGGCCCAGAAAGCTGTGTCTTAATAAACTTTCCAAGTTATTCTGATTTTTTTTTTTTTTGTAATGCCCTATTCTTTCAGCAAAGTTGATATGCTGTTTTAAGGTAAATCTATAGTCACCTTAAATAAAATTTATTTCACAGTCTCAAATGATCACAACTGTCTTTCCTGAGGGTCTGGATTTTCCAATTGGTTGCGTTTACCGACTCCCTCT